AGCAGGTATCGTGGAAAAGGTCCCGGCCGCAGAAGACAACAAGAATCAAGAAGATGTGCATTATCTTCCGCATCATGGAGTTATCCGAAATGACAAAGTCACGACCAAGTTACGAGTGGTCTATGACGGTTCGGCAACGACAGCTGATCGAGAACATTCGCTTAATGACTGTTTGTCGACCGGACCTAATTATATTCCTCAGATTTTTGAAATGCTTGTAAAATTCAGAGCTAATCGTGTTGGATTGGTGGCTGATATCGAAAAAGCTTTTCCGATGGTAGGGATCAGCAACAAAGATCGCGATATGCTACGTTTTTTGTGGTTCAAGAACATTGAACATCATGACCCTGAACTAGTTCAATTACGATTTTGCCGATTAGTGTTTGGTTTGAGGCCGTCCCCAGCTATTCTAGGGGCGACTATTAATCATCATCTAGACACTTTGCAAGAGAACAATCCAGAAATGGTAGAACATTTACGAGAATCCCTGTATGTTGATGATCTGGTGTCGGGTGCGCAGAATGATGAAAAGGCATTCCAAATTTACGAAGAATCCAAAGAAATAATGTCAACCGGCGGATTCAACTTACGAAAGTGGCATTCAAATTCGAGTAGTTTGATGAATTCTATCAATGCCTTAGAGGATAAGGTCGTTTCAAGCTCTCCAGACAACCAACCTGGCGTTATCGAGGAGGATTTATCGTATGCGAAAGAATCAATAGCACAAGAATCTGCACCAGCAAATAAAACACAAATTAAAGTTCTGGGGAAAATTTGGGACACTGATACGAATATGTTGTTATTCAATTTCGAGGAATTAATCGAGTACGCTAAATCGTTACCACTTACCAATGACAAAACGTTCGTTTCTAAAGTGGTCCTCGAAGATTTTCGATCCATTAGGTTTCTTAACGCCATTCACAATTAAATTGAAAATGCTATTTCAAGAACTGTGTTTAGCTAAGACAAGCTGGGATGAGAAAGTGGACGAGAAGATGTGCGCAACAATTAACAATCTTAGATCAGAATATGTCGAGAAAATTCAAGCCATTCCCAATTATTGCATCGTTCAATAAAGCATTTGATCCCGATAGAAGTACGACAATCGCCAGACGATCAGAAAGTAGCAGAGCAAGGAGAAGATAAGCAAGTACTACCTCAATCAACACGGCCTCAAAGAGATGCTGCCATAACTGGACAACTTAGGCGGCTGAAACAATCAGGCGTTTTGTAAATAAAGAACAAGTATGACAATGACAATGATAAGTTATTCATATTAAATAGGGATTAGTTGACAACATATTTGTCAACCCTGGGGAGTGTGAGAAACATTTGATATTAAGGGAAAATTACGTCATGTCTTCACCGGAAGCGAACATGTTTGATTGACAGTTTGAGAGTTTTGTATAAAGCATGCGTTTTATGTATAATGTAAATAAGATAGGTTGAAGTTTAATACAAATCATAGCAAAACGAGCACGAAGTTTACGAAAGTTTATAATAAAAAGTGCAGCGCAAGATATTTTTTTCCCAATATATTTGGCGGCAGGATATTTTTTTTTGCCTCTCATAATAACGGCTTACAGTAACTTAAGGCTTTCATATAGCTATCATCAGAGACGTAGTAGGGGTTTTCAGTCAGAGGAGGCCGAGAACTGAATCCCAAGAGGGGCCAAGGAATTTTCACTGTGATTTTATATGGTTATGTTTTAATGTTCGCCACACTAAAGCGTGCAGGTTTACTTATAAAAAATGTATAACTGCACCAAAACCTAAAACATGCACGGATAGAGTAGTTTGACAAAGTATCAATGGCTGTGATCAAGGACGCCTTACCGTACATCCTTCCTACACTTACGCAAATTGTTAATTGTTCCCTGGAAACAGGTGTTTTCCCAACAGCCTGGAAGAAAGCAGAGGTTATCCCACTTCTGAAGGAAGGGGATTATGAAATTCCGAATAATAATCGGCCCGTGTCGTTGTTAGTGGCTGCATCTAAGATCTGTGAACGCGTGGTATTGAAACAGCTAACAGAGTATATGACAAAGAAGAAAAAATTTACTAAACATCAAAGTGGAAATAGGAAGTTACATTCAACCGAAACATTAAACATATTCATCTCAGGTTTAATTCTCCAGTCCATGGATCGTAGAGAAGTGACTGCTTTACTCTTACTGGACTTGTCTAAAGCTTTTGATAGCTTAGATCATTTCATTCTGCTAAGAAAACTTTCGAATATTGGAATCTCGAAGCCTGCGTTGTTTTGGTTTAAAAGCTATTTGACAGGCAGGTGCCAATCAGTACGTATTGCGTCAGTGTTGTCTGATGAATGTGAAATAACTCGCGGTGTTCCGCAGGGATCGATACTGGGTCCGGTGTTATTTAATATATATATATCAACGACTTGCCTGGTGTACCCAAGGAGTCCAATTTGGAGTCGTACGTGGATGACTCAAAAATATATTTAGCATTCTCAATCAGGGATGCCGAGTTGGCAGCTATGAAACTCACTGAAGACATGCGAAGAATTACCGCCTGGTGCTGTCTTAACAGTTTATTGGTGAATCCAGAAAAAACTAAGTTGCTTATATTAGGTACTAGGCAAATGTTAGAACAGGTACCTGAAAATTTTCAAATAACTATCCTTGGTGAGAATATTACTCCAGTTGCTGTTGCAAAGGATCTAGGGATGATATTGGACTCATGTTTGAGCTACGACGAACATATCGCAAGCGTTGTTTCATCTTGTATCGCTGGACTGGGCCAAATTAGCAGAGTTAAACATATCTTTGACAGAAAAACATTAATTCTTATTATAAATTCCCTGATTTTTAGCAAAATGTATTACTGCTCTGCTGTTTGGTCTAATACATCCCAAAGAAATATCGAGAAACTTCAAGCGGTCCAGAACTTTGCTGCACGTATTGTTACAGGAACAAGAAAATACGATCACGTGACTCCTGTTCTGCAACAACTGGGCTGGCTTCCAGTTAAATACATGTTAAAATTAAGAGAAGCCATTTTTGCTTTCAAATGCTTGAAGGGGTTGGCACCACTGTATTTGCGTGAGAAGTTCCATGTCAGGTCAGATGTTCATGGAGTTAACACAAGGCAAAAGAACATTTTGGATATACCAATGTACAGATCAGCTGCGGGTCAACGAACATTTCACTATAGGGTTGTGTCCTTGTGGAATTCTCTGCCTCAGTCTCTTAAAAACATTGATACTTTGACTCATTTTAAAGTAGAATACAAACGTATGTTATTAGAAGAATTTTTAACTGTAAGTGGTGTTTAACAGATTTATAGAATATTTTAGAACTATAGCCTATTTTATACCTTAGGTCAAAACACAAAATTCATTTTTAGATACTTTTATAGATATAGAATTTTATATTTGTAATTAGATCCTGAAAAGCCCAATTGGGAGTATCTAATATTGTATAATAATAATAATAATAATACTCGAAAATGGGGGGAGGGTACAGTATATGAATGACCTGTAACCTTGGGGGGTTCGGGGGCATGCTCCCCCGAGAAAATTTTAAAACTTGAACCTCGGAAATTTCCTGCGTTTTCAGCCATGGATTCGTCCACGACAACTTTGCTGTACTAAGCCTAAGGAACACTTACTGTCCTTTATTTTAAACAAGGGAAAATCACAAAATGAGCTTTGATTAATATGTAATAAAACAAGATTTCAATAATGCAATTTTTAACTGCCCTCCGAAAGAGATACAGATAGCTTGTTGGGGATCGGGTTGCATCCTCTTCAGAAATTTTTTAAAATCTAGACTCTCTAAACTGGCAGTTTCGCATTAAAATCATCGTATATACAGTACGTTCAACTTGCATCCTGTAGATGGGCCTTTGAAGCTTTAATAGTTTGGAGCTATGTTATCAAAAAACGCACACAGACTCAACCATCCAAAAATACTTTTTCTACCATGCATCCCTGTGATGTTATCCACTGTTCACCCCGAGTTCTTTTAAGCAAATGTGCCTGCTCAAAAATGCAAAATCTTGCAAGCCTGTGGACACAATACTGAAGTGAAGAGCATCAGTATAGTTACATGTAGAAATTTTTTTTTTGAGCGCTCTCTTTTGCATATTTTTTTTCTCGATTGTATGCTGCATGATTTTTTTTTCTTTCTCCTTGGGTTGCAGGAAATGTTTTTTCGAAATCTCCCCCCCCCCTCAAAAGTCAAATGGTCCGCCCCTTACGGACAATCTTTCTATGTTTACTTTTTTAATTCCTACAACATAATAACTCGTTCCTCTTTAACATGGTCAACGCAAACTGACAGGTCGGGCATATAATTAAGATGTCAAAAGTCTACGAGATGCTTTTACAAATACTGGTGATTTTGGTGATTTCGACAGCATTTACAGCCAGTAAGATAATTATTATTATAACATAGATTTTATTATCATCGCACATCGCGTGTATTCTTGTTGATAAGTTGTAGAGATATGTGGATTTTGATTTTTGAGAGGCAACATTCCCTAATCACTAATGTAGTGTTACTGAGCGTTTGATGGTGTATAAACACTTAGACTTTAATAAAATACAAAATAATGGAAACTCATTTTATTTTCGTTTTAATATCGAAACGTTGAAAGTAAAATGATGAGTTTTTTTGAGTTTCCGTTGACAGTAGAAATAAACAGTATAATTATGCAATGAGCCCATTTAGAACTGATAGGGCTATCCATGCAGTAATGGATGTATATCGATCTTACTAAACCTCGAGAAGACAGAGCTATCAAGTATAAAGATCATTAAAGGATGGATCTTACTAAACCAAGAGAAGATAGAACTATCCAGTATAAATAAAGTTAGTTTAACTTTAGGTTTCCTCCTGTATAGTGACACTGTATAAAGAATGGATCTTGCTATAAATAGCTAGAGGAAGAACAGTTTAGAACTGGCAGAGCTATTCAGTGCAAGAAAAGTTTATTGTAGGTTTCCTGAGCAGTAGTAAGAATGGACCTTATACTAAACCTAGAGGGGGGTCTATTATAGGGGGTTGGTCGCTCCGCAAACCGTCGTATTGTCTCCTTCACCGTGAATCGCCCATACTTTCTTCGTGAAAACCGTAACCGTCATTTTTCTTATACATGCAGTAAAAGTTTATCGGCCAGGGACGTCGCAACGATCGACGAGAGAACAAAAATGGCATATATATATATATATATATATATATATATATATATATATATATATATATATATATATATATATATATATATATATATATATATATATATATATATATATATTGGTTTCGTTGGTTATAAAAACTTTTGGTAAAGTGCTCAATGGAAAACCAGAGCATATTTAAATTAAGGTACAACAATCAACAAAATCCACTAGGCATCTTTATTACTAAATAGTTTCGTACCACAAAATGTGGCACTCTTCAGATAAATTGACCTAATGACTATAGACTAAAACTGTATACAAGTGGATGAGACTTTAAAACAAGTGGATGAGACTTTAAAAAACTTAATCCTATTTACAAACCACCCGATTTAATTAACATGTTATGTGATAAGCTGACAGGACGCGGAAAGATTAACACACCGCGGTATCGTGGTCACACTAGCGCTAGAATCGTGCTTACTTGAACGTAATCTACTTGAATCTGTCAACAGGTCAGCCTCCAAGCACGTTTGATTGTGTGACCGCGTAAAACACATAATCCGAGCTTGCTTGAAACTTGATACATTTTGCTTGAAACTACAAAAGTACCGCAGCAAGATTCAAGCACGGTAGGGACGGTGACTGAACTGTGCTAGAATACATATCTCAAGAGGATTTATGCAACGCGACCAATAAAAACGCTCCCTGTTTAAGTATCCATTAGAAATCCTGATAGGACCAAAAATTGCATTAACGCGCCAATTTCGAAACACAGACACACATATTGCAGGCAGTCGCACTATCTTTCGTATTCTAAAAAAATCAGAATGGATTCAACTCCGAACCGAAAGCAAAACAAAGAAAGTGCGATCCTACCAGGAGTTGGATCGCACTTTCTTTGTTTTGCTTTCGGCTAGGAATAACCCAAAACTCACGATCAACTCTTGGGTTGACCACTCTGGCGATCGAGATAAAAAGCAATGTTGTTGTCGTCTGAAGCATCTGCAAGCTTCGCATGTTTTGTTTCATTTGGTGAAGGAAAAGGTACATTCGTCGCCTTCTGCGATTAAGCGCTCTTCGTTTTTTAGCATCGAAACGCGAAAACGTTGATACATAAAATGAAATAAAAGTAAAGAATCTCTATCCATTTTAAGTCTATATATATTTATATAACGAAGAATTGCGTAATGTAAATTTAACAAAAACCATGCAAAGACACTTTATCTGTCATTACAATCTTAAGCAAGCATAAGTACTTTTTCAGTGTGACCGCGACGTGCTTGCTTAACATTCTAGCACTTGCTTGAATGACGTCACAAGCAAGCACGCTAATCCTTTGCTAATCTGCAAGCACAAAGCGCTAGTGTGACCGCGACCATAGTAAATGTCTAGCTTTTTAAATGTTACTTAATTAAAAGGAATTTTTTATTATGCCTACATGCAGACAACTTGTCATACTTGCAGGGTTTTCAATTGCATTTCGCGCTAAAAAATGTGAATAAGTTATTGCTATCAATTAACAGGGGGCTGAGTTGTCTAATCG